AACCCGATCGAAGGCCTTCGCAATGTCTAAACTAACGGCCAATGCCTCCCCCTTGAACTCTACTGCCTCCGCCCATCTGTGAGTGAGGTAGACCAGAAGATCACCAGCTGACCGACCACGGCGAAAACCGTATTGGCGCTCACTAATCAGCTGGTGATCTTCAAGTTACCTCATGAGCTGGCAGTTTACAATGGATTCCATTGTTTTGGAGAACAAGGAGGTGATGGCGATTGGCCGGTAGTTGGACGGGTCTGAGCGGTCGCCTTTTTTAGGGATCGGGTGGACGAAAGCCGTCTTCCATGATTTTGGGACTACGCCTAGGGAGTAGGAGTACCGGAAAAGACGCGTTAAAACCGGTGCCAACTCCGGAGCACACGTCCTCAGCACAATTGGGGGGATTCCGTCAGGCCCACTCGACTTGTGGATGTCCAGGGAGAGGAGTGCTTTGCGAACCGAGCGCTGTGTGAACTGCACTTCCGGCATGGAGCACTCACACCGCGGGATGGTCGGCGGCGTACTCCCCCCGTCATCGAGAGTCGAGTTAGACGCAAAGAAAGAGCCTAGAAGATCGGCTTTCTCCTTTGCAGTATGGGCCAGTGAGTCGTCCTCCCTGTGCAGAGATGGAAGAGATGGCTGACAGAAATTCCCCTGGACAGCCTTGGCGAGAGACCAGAATGCACGGGTTCCAGAAGGAAGGCGAACTAGTTTCTCGCCAATTCTGCCTATGTGCTCTGACTTTGCCTTGGCAATGACTCTTTTGAAGGACCTAGAGGCGGAATTATACTTCTTTTTTAGAGCGCTGGTGTTTACATCCCGGGACGCTGATGCATCAACCCAGGCTTGGTAGCACTCCTGCTTATAGCATGATGCTATTTTACAGGAGCGACCAAACCATGGCTGAGATTTGCCTCCAATGGGCACCACAGAGGAAGAAATAAAAAGTTACATACCCTGAAGTACCACATCAGTAACAGAATCCGCAACAACGTTGGGATCATCCGGCGAGAAGCAAACCCGCCCCCAAGGTTAGGATGCAAAGAAAGACCGCATCCCATCCCAATCGGCTGACCTATAGTGCCAAACACGGCGGCAGCCTGCAGAATGCAACCGCGATTTAAACGTGAGTGGCACAACACACCGGACCAGACAATGGTCCGAGGAGCCTAAAGGGGCGTCGACGGAAATCTAATATCCGTCCGGGTGAGAGGTCAGCAGAAGGTCCAACAGGGAAGGTGCATGATCCTCCACATCTGGAATCCACGTAGGCGAAGTAACCAGTTGTGTCAGACCATATGCCAAGGCAAAATCATGAACAGATCTCCCCGCATGATCGGTTAAACGTGAACCAAGCCATTCGGCGTGATGGGCGTTAAAGTCGCCGAGGATCACGATCTCTGCGGAGGGGATCTGCTGTAGCAACGAATCTGCAGCCATTTGGACGTGGTCGAAGAGTCGGTCTGTTTCGGCATTACCGCTATGGGACCTATAGAGGCACCCGTAGACGCGCGGATGGTCGTCGCTGTCTACGCGTAGCCAAAGGATGGACAGGTCCGAACCTTCAAGTCTGCCGAGGCGTCGAGAACAGATGTCCTCTCTGACGTAAACGCAAACTCCAGCCCGAGGCACAAAGGAGTGTTCCAGTTTGTACCCCGGGTAGGAGAGATACGAGACATCAGCCGGAGAGGACACCTGCGTCTCGGTCAGAAAGAGCAGAGCCGGCTTCGCCGTCTCGAGATGGTAGTGGACGGCGTTTAGGTTAGAGTGAAGTCCCCTGATATTGCAGAAATTCACGGACAGCGTGGCAGGGGTCGCCTTGGTCTTGTTGCTCCGTTTGCCCCGAGCAGTTGTAGTCTTGAGCGGAATTTTGCCCCCCCCCCCCCCAGAATACGCGGGGCAGCCTGAGCACCCACGCTCAGAAGTGGAGAAACATGGTCGTGGATGCTCAGCGAGGGATTCTCCAGGGGTGCTGGTACCCTCCTGGGGTAGTGTATCATTATTTAATTCCGCTACCATGTTGCTGGGGGGGGGGGATTTGGGCCTCCGGCCACCTGCACTCACCAGACGAAACGCGGAAGCAGAGCTTCCACTTCACGCCGGTATTCTGTGAGGTCATGGTACCACCCCGGTTTGAGCCGGCCCATACGTGCAACAGCAAAGCTGCCGCGTGGCTCTACCACTGTTAAAATTATATAATTACATTCAAACTGGTCTGATACTTTTGGCGTGATTGAGTGATAAACAAACATTCAAACTTTTGCATTATTATAGTTTGATTAGCGTGAGTATGATGACTGAGCCTAATTTACTGTCTAACAAACAAAAAAGAATTCTTTAATTAGTATTTTTTGTTTAGTAATTCCCGGGAAATAATTGTTACATTAATAATAGATAGTTACATTATAAAAACAAAAACAAAACGACTGCTTAAAAGTAATGAACTGAAAACAATAACTTGTAATATATTTCAGTAATTTCCTTTTAATTTCCTTTATTTTCATACCCCTATCGATAGGTTGAGTAAAAAAATTAAGGACCTACAATTAGGCGCCAAAAATCCGTCATATTGATTAAAAAAAACCTATCTAGGAACACACGGGTGTTTGAGACGAATCACACGAAAGGATCTTTTTCTAAATAAGCGCCACATTATCGATATTAAGTATAGTGCGCAGCACTATGTCAAGCCGCCATATTTGTGCCAGACTCAGTTTAGGTATACACGTTTTTTTCGTAGATATGTCATGTCCTTTCTTTTTTCTCTAGTCAAAGAGATTCATGTTGCATCCGCTCACTTCCAAAATTTTTTTAGCTATCAACGTCATTAATTTTGACGTTTTATACTTTCACTGCTATTGTCACCATAGAATACTATAATGCATATATATACTATAATACATATATTGTGTATTATAGTATTATATGATTCTCACAGTCACTAGATATATATTTGAAACTTTGCCTGGTTTAGTGATACACATATGTGTTTGGGTTGGTCGAAAGTAAATGTTGTGGTTTACTCTTTAGTCAGGAGTTTTGATAGGAACTAAACCGCTATCAATTTCGGCTCCTGTTTGATCGTTAAAATAGTGGTTTAAATTATTAAATGTCTGCGCATCTGAACTAATATCGGAAACGATATAACAATTATATAAACCTCAGATTTTTAGGAGCCTAGTGATATTAAAGTACTTTTTATATTTTTTTTATTCCACAGACTTTTACCATAATTCTTTTTACAATAATTATTTTATTGTTTCCAAAAATTTTTATTTTCATAATCACTCTCAACGTTTTTACGACGATTTATCATACCCTGTAGCTACTCGAGCGCTGTTCTGGAAAGTTTTTGAACTGTTATTTACCGCTTACATAAGGACACCTTTCAACTATTCTCACATGGGAGATTGTCCTCCTAACCTCTATACTCAATGGCATAGTGGTTAAAATCAAAAATCAAGGAGTTTTGGCGGGAACTTCGCCGTAGACGGATTGTCGCTCCTGTTTTTTCGCTTGAATAATGGTTTGAAGTGGATTTTGTATCGTAAAAGTGATGTGATTTTGTGAATTAAGTGTCCGCGCGTGTGAATTATTAGAGAAAACGACGAAACAAGTGCTTTGATGTTGATATAAACCTCACGTTATTGTGATCGTTGGGGCGCCTTATGAACTTGAGTTGCTGTCGTCATCAACTGTCTGCTAGGTTGAGCTGTCGTCAAAATCTCTCAAGGGCTTCGCAATGTGACGCATCGGCATATTGTGAAGAAAAAGAACATAAAATGAAGATTCCAAAAGAAAGGATAGGCTCAGAAGGTCTAGAAACCAGAGCCGTAAAGCCAGTTAATAAATAAGAAAGAAAAATCAAAAGTCAAGGAGTTTTGGTGGGAACTTGGCCGTAGACAGATTGTCGCTCCTGTTTTGTCGCTTGAATTAAGGTTTGAAGTGGATTTTGATTTGTAAAAGTGATACGATTTTGTAAATTAAGTGTCCGCGCTTGTGAACTATTAAAGAAAACGACGAAACAAGTGCTATGATGTTGATATAAACCTCAAGTTATTTTGATCGCTTGGGCGCCCTATGAACTTGAGTGGCTGTCGACATCAACTGTCCGCTGGGTTACGCTTTCGTCAAAGTCTCCCAAGGGCTTCGCAATGTGACACATCAGCATATTGTGAAGAAAAAGAATATAAAAATAAAGCGGCCAAGAGCGTGTAGGGCCACGCTCAATGTAGGGTTCCGTAGTTTTTCGTCCGTCACAGTAAGTGTTCCCACTTATGAGTTTGTACAAAAACTGTTGTTTCCATCCAAGTTCAAAATAATTTTCCTAGAAAGTCCTTATAAAGTTCTACTTTCCAGATTTTTTTCATATTTTCTAAACTTATGGTTCAAAAGTTAGAGGGGGGGGGACACATTGTTTTTTACTTTTGGAGCGATTATTTCCGAAATTATTGACATTATCAAAAAATGATTTTAGTAAACCCCTATTCATTTTTAAATACCTTTCCAACAATATATCACACGTTAGGGTTGAAATTAAAAAAAAAATCACTTCCCACTTTAAATATAGGGGGGCTACCCTAATAAAACATTTTTTTCCAATTTTTGTTTTACCACTTTGTCGGCGTGATTGATACACATATTGGTACCAAATTTCAGCTTTCTAGTGCTAACGGTCACAGAGATTAAGCGAGGACGGACAGACGGACAGACAGACATGGCGAAACTATAAGGGTTCCTAGTTGACTACGGAACCCTAATGAAAATTCCGAAAGAAATGATAGGCTCAGAAGGGCTAGAACCCAGAGCCGTAAAGCCAGTTAATAAAAAATCTAAAGTCAATGTCAATGTTAATGTACTCTGTGAATCTGTGATAGAAATGTGTAGTTAGTTGTCAACGCGGTTCATTTGATTTCAAATACGAATTTTATTGATTTTTTAAATGTTAAAATGTTTATGACGACGTGCACGAAAACGAATTCGAAGTATACTTTGTGCTTGACTAGATTTTAGAACAGTATTATTGTTACGTAAGTGTAATTATCCTTGTTTAATGTACACTTTTATTTTAACCTTGAAAATTATTCATGTAATCATTTTTTGCCTTATTAGAGGTTAGTAATTAAAATATTTTATACGTTTGTTTTCCTCAATAATTAAAAGTAAATTTAAATCGTGATATGACGTAGCATATTTACAAAAGAACATGAATAAATTAAAGGTTATGCTGTTATGTCATTAATAATTTTTATATTAGATATTTTATATTTATCCACAGAAGTAGTAATATATTATATTCATAAATAGTATATATTCTTATCTACATGAAAACTGATGTATGTAGTTCTTTTAGGCTTTTTAGCTATTAGGTATTATTAAATTATACTTTGATTAGATAAAATTATCAGATGATAGTTGAAGTCTTTTTTTACTTCCTTTAAACAATACAGTCTGTTAATCAGGACGTAATTTTGTTATGTTAATAAATTTTCAAATTACATTGTCATATAGAAAACATTTATAGAAATTTAAATGTGAAGAAACTATTGCTTCTTTATGACAACACTCAGTCATGTACTGCACAAAAGCAATATTAGCTGAGTTAACGCTGGAGACCCCTCATTTTCCTTAATCTTCAGATGTATCAGTCTTCCAAAAACATGGAAGATTTATGTGCAAAAATTTCTATTCCAAAAATACAGTAAAGTCACCTTTAAAGAGTTCATTGATTCTGTTAGTTTTTATAGTATTTAAATTAACCCATACAAACTGGAATTGTTTTTTCTTATATTTACGCGAACACTACACATTTAAATAATACTAGTTTTTACGGATTTTATCGCGTATATTTATCTTTTTAATACCCAACATTTTGAGCACTTTACAGCACCCATGGTCACAGGGGGGACTGAGATCTCAGTCCCCCCCAGATAAAATTCTTAAAACTAGTATTATTTAACTGGAATTTTTTTTTCTCTGTTCGCCACTTACCATTTCAATACTGTTCGTCATAACCCATCTATGAAATTTTTGTTTCAGTATTTTTAGGGGCTAAATCTACTATGTAGCGGCAGTATAAGACAATCCACTACTCCATTATCCGCCAACATGATAGGGTCATAAGAGGCAACAAAGAGAAACTGAACCAACTGAAAATAACAAAAAACTGTGGTTGCAAATCAATATAATAATATCCTCCAGACCGAATTTCGGTCACGGCGGCCAGCCTCATCGGAGACTAGCCATGGCGCAGGACAAGATTATAGTGCCAAAATTTATGTGCAAGCACAGGTGCACTCTCTATTCCATCACTCTCATATTCTGATGGGACGGTAAACCGACATGACGGGAGAGAGATCAGGCGCAGGACCAACGGCTTTACGTGCCTTCCGAAGCATGGTGGTGATGTACCACCAACTTCCTAACTCCGGGCAGCTATTGAGAATTTCTTGATGGAGAAACTCAATAGTTAATTTTTTCGCCCGACGAGGGATTCGAACCCAGGACTTCATGATCAGTAGTCGCGCCACTACAACCACTAGACCAAGGAGGCAGTCATAACCAAGTATGGCAACTATGGGATATATCCCCCACAGGACAATATACAGTTGACCCGTGGTAACCCGACAAACGTTTTGCAACTCGGTATAGGATTATCAAATTTGTCGGACTAAAGAGTACTGTCATAATCCCATGGTAATATGAAACTCTTAGAAAATGAGTACCTTGTAATTCGACAGATTACATTTAAAATAACAAAAAAAGGTCTTGTAATGCACAATGATTACCTAACCCGTAAATGATGAATGCCTGCTGGGCTACCATGGTCATGTAAAAAAAGTAAACTTAGACAATATGCGTCCAGATATATTCATGGTGCTGAAAACTAATTGCAATCTGTTTGTTCACATATTTGCAAGGGACTACTCCCCCTGCAGCAAATTCATAACACAACTCGATTGTACCTACATGTTAAAGGCATGTCGGATTACAAGGGATTACCGGGGTTCCAATTTGTAGAGAATGTTCACCAGTAGAGTTTTTATAAGCCGTAAATATAATAATGATAAAGGCTAAATCTAAAATTTTATACACTGACTGATTGATTTTCTGCAACAAATTACACATACTAATATTCTTTTAATTTACTTTCCAGTTTTCAACATGGCTTAACAATAACAATATAAAGTCAACAATGCTCAATACGAATTTGATAGGTCTCAAAGTAACAAATTTAAAATCGTTTCTACGATTAACAAATTCAAATGTAAGCCTCAAGAAAAAACTGTATTTATCCACTGGTAAAACTGCACATCCATGTTTATGTGGACAAGTATACTTTAAGAAAGAACAGAAACAAGCTGATGAAATATTTTATAAAAATGTTCGATTTCACACAACACACAGTGATCAGCATAGACAAAAGGTAGTCATAGAGACGTCTACCCCGAAAATTATCATAGATCGAATAGAAAGGAGGAAAAAGGTGTTACCAGTGGAAAAAAGTATTGATGTTAGATTAGGTGATCTGTGGAAGAACAAAATAGATCCATATGTTAAGTTAGCAAGATGGGACAGACCTATTGGTAAGTGTAATTTATTCTCGTTGCTTGAATAGGCCATTGTTCAACCTCTCCCAAGTTTGCAGTTTTTGCCATATTGTATTAATAGTGTTAGTGATGGTACAGGAATATCCACTACCCCATTTAGTCCTATGGGTATCACAAGAGGCAACTATGGTAATTAACCCCCTATGTGGAGGCCTATGTTGTGCAGTAGACTTATATAGACTATAATGTTAATAGTATTAGGATGCTATGAAGGTCCACAGCTAAAGAAAGATCTTTCCACAGAGTAAAAGGCCTTTTGCTGCCCTTATTACTTTTAATTATACATAATTACATGCATAGATTTTTTATTCATATGTTCATGCATAGATTTTTTACATTCCTTGGCCCCTTTCTGTATTATTAAGTCAATGCAATTTTGTGCATATATCCCATTAACCTCTCAATCCCCTAGTGATCTCATGAGACCACGGCCATATTCCGTCAAATCCCTACCGCACCCACCCACAGCACTTTAACCCGTAAAAACGTATATATAGAGACTATTTTTTTATGAAGAAGTTTGGCATTATAGAATCAATATAAAATTTTCTATCCACTAGTGTAATAAAAAAAACAGTTATCTTATGTATATTTATTTATAATCTATGTTCATTTCGTATGCCATTGTTGCATGAATGTTATTGTGCTGATTTTTGGATTTTATAGTGTTTTAATATAAAATTGTCATGAAAGTTTTTGTGTGAATATACTTTATCTTTTTACATAAATAATTTCGAGTAATATATTGAAATAATTGTGATTTTCACTCTGCCGACATTTGCTTGGTATGTTTTTTTTATTAAAATACAATAAAATCTTTTTGTAATGAAGTTATACCTGACTTTTGTTTACACCACGGGATAGAGAATTTTGAATAGACTTTATAATGCCAAACTTCGTTATAGAAAAGTAGTCTCTAAATATAAGCTTTAATGGTTTTAATTGCTGTGGATGGGTGCGTGCAGCGAATCCCGAGTGGTCGCATGCGACTGCATAGGATTTTTACTAGGATAAGGGTTAAAAATGGCAGACTGTAAAAATGTTATTCGAACATGGTTACAAAATTTGTCATAATATGATGTGGAGAAGTTACTGATTGTTTTAAGTTAATTATCATACGTAAATTAATGATGATATATTTTACTGAAATAACTTTAATTAGTTAGTATGCTATTCATTTTATATAAGAAACAGTAAATATTTGTTATTGTATCTTTTAGCACATACACCTGAGATACAGGTTTATTCCAGTTCAGGTGCCTGTTATTGTAGACTATTTTTAATTTAAGACATTATTTGAGTTAATGTATATGTAAATAAATAATATAGAAATAAAAATTATTATTATTATTAAAAAACAGGAGAGACTCATTCAGGATGTGTCACGAAAAAATTCACACTTTTATCCTCATTTGTTTTTCGCTTCCAGGTGTTTACCTCCTCTACTGGCCATGTTCATGGTCAATAGCCCTGGCGTCTATACCTGGAACTGTGCCATTATACACCACATTGGAAACAGCTGGACTGTTTCTCTTGGGAGCCGGTCTTATGAGGGGCGCCGGCTGCACTATCAATGATATGTGGGATAAGGATGTCGATGCTCAGGTATAATTGCTAAATATTGTTTCTTGTTCCTTATCTTCTTTCTTCGGCCTGTAAAAGTTAGCTGCTGGTCACGAGCCACTTCTATCTGAGGAGTTTGTATTATTTTTTTTATATAGTATAAGGGTGACAAACGAGCACACAGTCCACCTAATGTTAAGTGGATTCTGCGGCCCATAGACGTCTACATTTATCTTCAATTAAAAATCAAAATGCAGATGCGTTGCCAGTCCTGAGGGCTGAGATGGAATGCCTCGTTTCCAGTAAAAAGGGTCTCCGGTTCTCTACACTCACCATACGAAACACAGCACCATTAATCTGCTATTTTACGCTGGTATTCTGTGAGAGCGTGGTCCTACCCCGGGCGAGCCAACCCATTCGTGCTGCAACCACAATATAGCTGCAGCATGCCAAGCATTACCACTTAAGAAAATTTAACAATTTCAAGAGAACTAAAAACTCAGTAAATACAAAAAAAGGTAACTAAGATATAATAACATTTCCAAACATATATGTAGTAATAATATAGCATAAACCAGTGTATACTAGTGAAACTTATGTACATACTAGCTGGCCAGGCAGATGTTCTGCACTTTCTGATGACCCTTCCTATAAAAAATCTTTAAATTTCTATCTCAAGTTAGCCCAAACTGCACAAAATGTGTGTGTAAAATTTTATTGAAATACGTTAAGTAGCTTAGAAGTTCATCCCAGACAAACAAAGTAACACTTAATTTTTATTTATGAAGATTAATTACATACTATTAATTAGAGGTGGGCCGAATATTCGTTTTATATTCGGTATTCGGCATATTCGGCAGGTTTACCGAATATTCGTATTCAGCTGAATATTCGGCTAAATCACTGAACATTCGTTAAAGTGGTACTCAAAGTACCTATCCACTGTATGGAAATGTATGAATTGAGTAATCCCATTTTTTCATATTTTTACTGTTGAAAGTACATTTATTTATGGGTTAAATCTACTTACATAGCATTATGTTTTTGAGGCACTGTAGATTTATTTCCAATTATAGCAAATAGAAAGCTTGATAAAACTTTGTTTGGAATCAAACAAAGAATCATTACATTACAATCGTCTATTTCTCTAAAATTGGTTCAAATAGTAGATTTCCTGCCACTCATTTTCATCATATACTTACAAATTTTCACTAAGAATAACACAACAAAATACTTTTTTTCTCACAAAAATAGTCAAAACAAGCGTGTGCCGGCAATTTGCTCAGTACTAGATGATGCCATAACATGTCAGGTGTGGCGGGGAGCGAGGGGCATGGTCCAGCACTAATCCCGCGCGCTTTACGGTAACAAGTTTCGACATAAATTGGTTAGGTACCGAGGTGATCCTGCCGAATAATGTTCGGCCGAATATTCGGTTCGGTAAAAGTTTTACCGAACGTTCGGCCGAATATTCGTATTCGGTGAAATCCTTATTCGGCCCATCCCTACTATTAATACAAGTTCAATGATGAAATTAAATAAAGTTCCTTTTAAAAATTTTGAATAAAACTTTAAGTATCAAGCTAGGAACGCTGCAAAACAAATCTGAGTTATTGTCACAATTTTCATAATTCATAATTCTTTATTGCATGTCACAAAGAATAAAATTGGTACAATATATTTACAGAGCATGTGACACCCTGTACGGGCGTAGCATATTTAGATAGAGTTAAACGTAGCATATTAATATAGATACAATTAAATTACAATATTTATAGTACACAATATATAAATTATTATTAATTAATTTATAAAATGTCACACACAATTATTAGTTTATTTTAAAAATTAAATTTCATAAATATATGTCAACTATTGATCATTCGTCAATTGCAATTAAGTAAAGTTTTTTTTTATATAGAATAGCAATCACAGAGAAAACATCTGTATTTATCTTCAATTAAGAATCAAAATGCAGATGCGTTGTCAACCCTGATTTTGTACAAGATAGTGCTATAGATAAAACTGACTTTTGTCAGGGAGTTTTAAAGAGAGTTCTGAGTTAATTGCCATGCCTGGTAGGGATATTAATGACCACAGTACCGGACACTTGACACAGCTGTTTATCATTGGTCTAGATATTGTTCGTTTTTTTTATAGCATTGGGTGGTAAATGGTTGCTGTGGCCCATAGACATCCACATTTATCCTTAATGTGATGTAGGCGCCAAAATCAGATATTTTCACGCTTTAAAAGTGCAATTTTGTCATTAAAAACTACGAATTCACATTTTTTAATTCATTATGAAAGTTAAAGATTTTTCTTAGTGAATTATGGTGGCCAAAACACGATTGACACATTTTGGCTCGATAGAAAAAGATCGCAAAATTTTCTCAAAATTAACAATTTTAGGTACGTCCACTAAGTGAAAAAGTAGTTGCATTCGAATGTAATGAAATGTAATTAATTAAAATGCAAACATAGCCTAGTTTGCATTTTAAAAAGAAATATCAAATAAATATTGTGCAATTAAATAGCGCGCGGCCGACCAAACAGTCCATATGAAGCTTGAAAAATCTGCTTTTGGCGCCCACATTCACTTTAATTAAGAATCAAAATGCAGATGCGTTTTATATTTGTAGCATGAATGGGTTGGCTGGACCGGAGCAGGACCACGCTCTCACAGAATATGTAATGCTGCTGTTTCATACGGTGAGTGTAGAGAACCGGATACCCTATTTACTGGAATCGAGGCATTCCATCTTAGTCCTCAGGTATGACAACGCATCTGCGTTTTGATTCTTAATCGAGGATAAATATAGATGTCTATGGACCACAGAATCCACTTACCATCAGGTGGACTGTGTGCTCATTTGTCATCCTTATTCTATTTAAAAAAAAGTCTTTTTCTATACCATTTCTTTACAATGGGAGGGGCTTATTCCCGTCAGTGCACTTAGATATTGTATACCAGCAGTGACTGCCTCGTTGGTCTAGTGGTTGTAGAGTGTGTACACTGCGACTGCTAATCATGAGGTCCTGGGTTCGAATCCCGGGTCGAGCCAAAAAATTAATTATTGAGTTTTTCCATCAAGAAATTCTTAGTAGTTGCCCGGAGTCAGGAAATTGGTGGTGTCTCACCCCCGTGCCTCGGAAAGCACGTAAAGCCGTTGGTCCTGCGCCTGATCTCTCTCCGTTCGTGTCGGTTTACCATCCCATCGGATTATGAGAGTGAGGGAGTAGAGAGTGCACCTGTGCTTGCGCATACACTTGGGCACTATAATCCTGTCCTGCGCCGATGGCTAGTCTCCGTTGAGGCAGGCCGCCGTGGCCGGAATTCGGTCTGGAGGACATTATTATTATACTAGCAGCACACATCACTTTTTTCGCATAGAATAATTTTTATTAATTTATTATCATACATCCCTATTTGTATGGGATGCTGTTCACAATTTCACGTGTTTTAATTTTTTGCGCGGAACCCTAATTCTTTAAAAACTTTCAGAAATGGGTGGAGGCCTGTGCCCTGCAGTGGGCGTATATAGGCTGTAACTTTTTTTTCTGTGAGAGTGTATTGCTTCCCGAGTCGAACCGATCAGTATGGGTCTACCAGATTTTAAGAAGTGCATATTTTCCTTTTGTATAATAATTATAGATAATATAAAATTTAGTTTTGCTTGTATCAATAAGTTTGAGCGATGTCTTTTCTTACGCCCACACACAACTTTAGTTAATTCTTTTCCTAAAATAAAAGCAGGTCAAGGTACTTGTGATGACTGATAACATCATCTATTTGCTCAAAATCTGTCTAGCCGTTTCAGAGATTAGCCAGATTAAACAGACAGAGACAAAATTATAAAACTTTGTTTTTTTTTTTGTTATTACATACCGTATTTATACTTTCATATGCGTTTTGTAAAAAGCTATTATTTTGATATTACAAACAGGCTCTTCAATATTATTTATTGGTATTTATTTTTTGGACACTAATATTTTATGACATTGGGAATTGAATAAAAGCGTATACTTTGCGTTTTTATTTAATTCACAATGCCATACTTAACCCGACTTCAGGACCTTCAGTTTTTTAATATTAATTTTCGGTCACACAAACACACATATTTTACAAAAATCACACTTTGCAAAACATGTGTGTTTGTGTTTGGATTTAATTTAATAATTATAAGATCCCAAGCAGGTTTTACCACGTGCTCGGCGGTGAAGGAAAACATCGTGAGGAAACTGCATGTCTGAAGAATAAGAGAAAAAAAATATTTCGAAGACATGTGGAGTTCACCAACACGCATTGGGGCTTTGCGGCGGACAATTCCTTGCCCTAAAAACCTCAGTAATGAGGGGAGGCCTGTGCCCGGCCGTGGGACATATAGAGGCTGTACCTTAAACCTTACCTACCTTAAGCAGGATACCCATCTATCTTCTCATTTGAAATTATGATTTTTAGTTGAAATATCCTTGTGAATTATCCTTGGTAGAAATCGGTATATTTTTGCGAGGATTTGTGTTTGGATTTGTGATTAAACATCTTCACAGACTGCAGACTTCTCGGAGCTTCGGTGCATCACGTCAGCTATGTGTTCTTTTACGCGGGTTTTTTATTGATCTTAAATCCGTAAAATTAGTTTGATTCAATTTTATTTTATTTTTATAGGATATGGTGACAAACGAGCACACAGTCCACCTGACGGTAAAAAAAAATCAAAAATTTTGGCTCGACGACCTCATGATCATATCAATAGTTAGAAGAAATTGAAAAAGACTTTTTTTTAAATAGAATAAGGATGACAAATGAGCACACAGTCCACCTGATGGAAGTGGATTCTGTGGCACATAGACATCTACATCTATCCTCGATTACGAATCAAAATGCAGATGCGTTGTCAACCGTGAGGACTAAGATGGAATGCCTCGTTTCCAGCAAAAAGGGTCTCCGGTCTCTACACTCACCATACGAAACACAGCAGCGTTACGCTACTATTTCACGCTTGTATTCTGTGAGAGCGTGGTCCTTCTCCGGTCGAGCCGACCCATTCGTGCTATAACTATACTACTAATATAACCGCATCATGGCTCTACCATTTAAAAAATAAAGTGTAAGTCAATGTGTAAGTGTTCGCGTAAATAAAAGAAATCATTACTATGCGTCTCGATTCCAGGTGGAGAGAACCAAAGACAGGCCGCTGGTTTCCGGGGCATTAACTGATAAGCAAGCAATGGTATTCCTAGCCGCTCAGCTCACCTTGGCTCTGGGAGTTCTTCTACAGTTGAATTGTTACAGTATAGTCCTCGGAGCAAGTAGTATGTGTAAGTATTAATCCTATATTTGACCCAACTCTGATAACGGGACTCCTATTTTTGAGATGGCTTGCGAGAGCAGGGAAAAGGTAATTCCCATAAATTATCACAGAACCATTACGGTTCCGTCGCGGTCGCTCGGCTGGTGATCTTCTGGGCTACCTAACTCATAAATGGGCGGAGGCAGTAGAGTCCAAGGGGGAGGCGTTGGTCGTTAGTTTGGACATTGCGAAGGCCTTCGATCGGGTTTGGCACAAATCGCTTCTTACGAAGTTTCCTTCCAATGGGCTTCCCGAGAAATTGCGCAATTGGATCACCAGTTTTCTTGCTGATCGGAGCATCAAGGTCGTTGTAGACGGTGCATGCTCCTATTACAAGCCCATTAACGCTGGCGTTCCACAAGGCTGCGTGCTATAACCAACGCTGTTTCTTCTGCATATCAATGACATGTTGCAAACCGGTAACATTTATTGCTATGCAGATGACAGCACTGGTGATGCTTTATACACCGGCCGTGCCAATATTTCTCGGTAAAACGTCGCTGAGTACCGGGACAAACTTGTGTCTGAAGTCGAAACTTTGTTGAACAAAGTCTCGGACTGGGGGCGACTGAATCCAGTCCAGTTTAATCCCTAGAAGACACAAGTTTGCGCGTTTACCGCTAAAAAGACCCCTACGTCGTATCTCCTCAGTTTCAAGGCACTCCCCTTGTTGCCTCAGCCAGTATCGGAATCCTCGGCGTCGATATTTCGCGGTCACTTGGAAGAGAAGGCCAAATTGGCCTCTAAAATGCTTGGCGTGCTCAGCAGAGCGGGACAGTATTTCATGCCGGCACACCGCCTGCAACTTTACAAGGCGCAGGTTCGGCAGCACATGGAATATTTCCCCATCTCTGGGCTGAGGCTCTCCAGTACCAGCTCCTTCCATATGATCGCATCCAACTCAGAGCTGTTCGAATCGTAGGCGACCGGGCTTTTTCCGAACGGCTTGACTTACTGGCACTGCGAAGAGATGTTGCATCTCTGCGTACTTCTTCGCATCTACCACGGGGAGTGCTCTGAGGAATTGTTTGGACTAATTCTAGCCGCACAGTTTCACCATCGAACATCGCGACAACACTCACGATACTATTCATACAATCAGGATGACCGGCAGTCCACCACCGTGCGGTTTAAAAGAAGTTTTCTTCCTCGCACAACTTCCTTGTAGAATCGACTACCACCAGAGATTTTTCCGGACCGATACGACTTAGGCGCCTTTAAGAAAAGAGCCTACTCCTTTTTATAAGGCCGGCAACGGAATTGCAATTCCCCTGGTGTTGCAGTTGTTCATGGGCGGCGGTAATCACTTACCATCAGGTGAGCCGCATGCTCGTTTGCCCCCTCACCCATAAAAATAAAACAGGAAAAAGGTAATTCTCATAAATAATGGTAGGGTAGACCTCTCTTTACCACCATTGCTCAACTACTCAGGGGGTCTCTATCCTTTTGTTGTCTACATATATGCATTTAAACCAACGGTTTACTTTATTGTTCGTCATGTATGTCTTTTCATCAAATCACAATGTGGATATTTTTAAGGCAAGAGTGTGCTTTATTTAAGCTAAGGGAGCCCTCAACTAGATGTAGAGACCTGGTAAGATATGCCATAAGTCGATGGATGCAGGTGGCTCAGGACCGTGCTTTGTGGCATCTCTTGGGGGAGGCCTATGTTCAGCAGTGGACTTGTGAAAGGGCTGTAATGATGATGATGAAACTAAGTCAGTGGGCTTTACCATCTTAAGCTGTATCACCACTTACCACCAGGTGGGATAATATCGCAAAGTAGTTAAGCACTTTACAGGTTATCTTAAAAGAGTTTCTAAATTTTATATTAAAGTTCAAATATAGAAATAATGGTGTACCATTATTGCAGTTTTTAAAAACCACGAGTAAATACGACTTCTCCTTTTATTTGAAATTATCCCCCATTGCATTGAATTTGTTATTTATGAGCAACATCTACGTGTGAGCGCGCTCCTCTATGCGGTTCATTCACAACGTTTTACTGACCGAGCAACCCTTACGAATGTGTGCGTGCGTAGTAAAATAGTAGGCTTTAGATATTCATGAATTACAATCAGTTAAAAATTAATGCATCACCAAACATTCTGAATTTATAAGATAAAAAGACAGAATGTTTAATATAAACTTCATAATAATAAGAGTTTTAATCATGTATAGTGTTCGAATATAAGAAATCATTATATTTTTAATTAATTTCGGTTTAAAGAACTTTATTACTCATTAAGGCAGTTGTCACTTACACGAGAACAATAATATCTATATTATAATTTTAGTGCGGGCGTAAGGTAAGGTAAGGTGGTGCTCCAAGTTAATTTTAATACATCATCATCATCATCATTACAGCCCTTCACAAGTCCACTGCTGAACGTAGGCCTCCCCCAAGGAATGCCACAAAGCACGGTCCTGAGCCACCTGCATCCATCGACTTCCTGCATGTCTTACCAGGTCGTCACTCCATCTAGTGGGGGGTCGCCCTACACTACGCCTACCGGTACGAGGCTGCCACTCGAGAACCTTTCTTCCCCATCGGTTATCGGTTCTTCGAGCTACATGGCCGGCCCATTGCCACTTCAGCATACTAATCCGTTGGGCTATATCGGTTACTCTGGTTTTACTGCGGATATCCTCATTTCCGAGTCTATCACGCAGAGAAACTCCGAGCATAGCCCTCTCCATAGCTCGCCCTTGAGCATCCTCATACGGCCAGCATTGAAGGACCACGTCTCAGATCCGTAAGTCATCACTGGCAACACGCACTGGTACTACTGTACACTTTAGTTTTCAGAGATTGAGGTAGACCTGACGAGAAGATGTGTCGTAATTTCCCGAACGCTGCCCAGCCGAGTTGAACAAACAAGAAAATGCAAAAAAAAAAAAAAAAAAATCCGTCGATTGACCTCTCGGTCGAAGTTGGACTTACCTAGTCGGACTATTTGTCCCAGGTAAACGTACTCGTCAACAACTTCGAGCATAGTGCTCCCAACAACTACCGGTATAGGTGTGACATGGACATTAAACATGATCTTTGTTTTGTCCATGTTCATCTTAAGACCTATCTGTTGGGAAACACTATTGAGGTCATTGAGCATAGTGTTAAGGTCCTCCAGCGATTCTGCCATAAGGATTATATCGTCGGCAAATCGAAGGTGAGTGAATGTTAATACCGTATCCTGTCTAGTACGGTAGCTTGAAAACGTCTTCCAACGCAGCGGTGAAGAGTTTCGGGGATGTAACGTCACCCTGTCTTACACCTCTCTGCAGTTGGATAGGTTTCGAACTCTGGTTCTGTACTCGGATAGCCATCGTAGCCCTACTGTACAAACACTTCAGCACTTCGATATACCGACAGTCAACTTGGCACCGCTGAAGGGACTGTAGCACCGCCCAAATTTCGACGGAATCAAAGGCTTTCTCATAGTCCACATACGCCAGGCAAAGTGGCAGATTGTACTCTTCGGTCTTCTGTACAATCTGCCCCCGGGTCTGTATGTGGTCTATGGTACTGAAGCCTTTTCGGGAACTGGCTTGTTCGGGAGGCTGGAAGTCGTCGAGTCTGCGTGCGAAACGATTCGTAATGACTCTCGAAAACAGCACGTAGACGCGGTTCAGAAGGGATATCGGTCTGTAGTTCTTCAAGAGAGCGTTGTCGCCTTTCTTAAAGAACAAGACCACCGCACTTCCGCTCCACGCCTCCGGAGTAGTGCCACCATGGAGGACGGAATTGAAGAGCTTCTGAAGGACTTCAAGTACCGGTGTTCCACCCGCTTTCAGAAGCTCCGCTGTAATTCCATCCTCGCCTGAGGGAGGGTCCTGCCGTTTTTAAGGTGCTGGAGAGCCATTTTAATCTCGCTCAGACTGACGTCCGGGATATCATCGGAATAGTGTCGGATAAGACTTGCTCTTGGATCGTTACTCACACTTGCGTGTGGCTCCAACGATGATGTGTACAGCTGCCCATGGAACCTCTCAATCGTTAACGTTTAGGTTCAGTGTGCCTCTAACCATTAGGTGATCGCTGCCAGTTTTCACCCTTGCGATCACTGAGACATCACCGAACAGTTGGCGTCTGGTCGTCATAATGAAGTCAATCTCATTTTTTGTCGAACCGTCGGGGCTCGACCAGGTCCACTTCCTGTGGGGCCGCTTCTGGAAGAAAGAGTTCATCATAAACAGTCCCTCTTTCTCCATAAAGTCAGCCAGCTGCTGGCCCCTACGGTTCCGTTGCCCTACTCCAAATTCCCCTACCTTCAGCTCACCGTCTTCTCTTGTGTCTAGTTTTGCGTTGAAGTCTCCCATCAACACCGTGTAGTGGGTTTTGGAGGAATGCATGGCTCTAGAAATATCCTCATACATTTCCTCCACCTCCTCATCGGGATGTGCCGAGGTTGGTGTGTAGCCCTGTATGACCTTCAGCGAATACCGTTTGGTGATTCTGAGTATCAGGTACGCGACCCTCATCGACACACTCCCAATCTTTACAACGTTGTAGAGACTTCTGGACGATAAATCCGACACTTCCTTGGGACAGATGGTCGCCCTCCCGGTGATAGAACAAGTTGCAGGACTCGAGGATTACCGTGTCCTCCCCCTCTCTTCGGACCTCAGATAATCCAATAATATGCCAGCGCAACTTGTCTACCTCTTCTTCCAGCTCCAGTATCTTCTCGTCAGTCCTCAGGGTGCGTGCGTTATACATTGCCAGGTCGAGTCGTCGTAGGTGGCAACCGAACCTCCACCGGAGATTCTTAGCCCCCCCTGCCCCGCCGTTACCATGGTCGCCACCGTAGCCAGGAATAGCGGGGCCGCCGGGGACTGAGGGCCGTCTGTTTGCGTTTTATTCATGGGGGGATATTTGCCATAGTTGCCACGCTTGGCGAGCGGGTTGGCAACCGCAGTTTTTTTATTATATCACAGTTGTTATCAGGAAGATGCTGCTGCCCATCTCCTGCCTGTCTCCCTCTGTCGCCTCTTACGACACCCACGGGAAGATATGGGGTAGTGGATATTCTCAACCGCCACTACACGGCAAAATTTTAATACATAACTAAAACAAAAACGCAAAATAAGAATGTATACTGATTGATCTAAAGAACACCTTTATCTATAATTGGACGAAGAATCGGGCAATATCCAATTATGGCGGCCCTTTTATTGTTCCCTAGTTATACTTCCTTTTATTGTTGCCTCTGTACCGGCTTTAAAATATCCATGCCCACACTAGCTAACAAAGGATGGCTTAACGAAAAAAATAGTTTTTCCCTTTTGTTTTATTTACCACTGAAATTTTTACGTGGTAGTGCTATACTGCAGCTATATTAGTAGTATAGTTGTAGCACGAATGGGTCGAAACAACCGGGGAAGTACCACGCTCTCACAGAATACCATCGTAAAATAGCAGCTTAATACTGCTGTGTTTCGTATGGTGAGTGTAGAGAACCGGAGACCCTTTTTACTGGAAACGAGGCATTCCATCTTAGTCCTCACCGATGACAACGCATCTGCATTTTTATTTGTAATCGAGGATAGACGTAGATGTCTACGGGCCACAGCTACCACTTACCAACAGGTGGACTGTGTGAGCGTTTGTCACCCTTCTCATATACAAAAAGGTAACCCATGTTTTGGCATCTAGAGCGGCTTCACTGATTGTTCTAGGGTGGACCGGAATAATTATTTCAATGTGTCCTGAGGCTAATTTACTTTTGCTTGCATTCTATATTTTATAGAATTAAGTTGACATACAAACTTACGGTTCACCACTTGATGGTAAGTGGCTACTACACTCCGTGGCTACAGATGCTTTGTTACCTCTGAGGACAAAAATGGACTGCCTTACACCATGTAAATTGAACCGTAAAGGTACAATTCCGTAGCCGACTGCAGACAGCAGCAGCAAGCGACGTGTCGTCGCAACACAACCGGTTTCTATGCAGTTGTATGAAATACGTTCCGTAGCTAGCGATACGTCGTTTGCCTAGCAGCGGACGACACTGCAGCTCGACCGCAGATCAGTAGTGCCGTCAACGCCCAAGCGACAACACGTTGAATTTTTCTTAAAAAATTAGTTTCACCGATTCCGAGGAACAGAAACTGATAAACCAGGTGGTCCAATATCCCGCACTGTACGTTCCCTCACTTCCTCTGAATTTCAACATAGGACGTGTGTCTTTTAGTATTTTCTTTTTATACTTGTATAGTAAAACCAAGTCATCATCATCCTCCTCTTCTAACAAAAGATACTCGTACAAACATAGGTCGCGATCGCTAATTTCAAACACGTCAGACATCATGTCCCACTGAACACTCGAAACAGACTGGACACGGGCTGTTGCCGTCTGCAGTCGGGTTCGGAGTCGTGGCTGCAGCGACACGTCGCCTGCTGCTGCTGCTTGCAGTCGGCTACGGAATTGTACCTTAAGCAGTACAGTACTGCTGTGTACCGGTATACGCTGCTTGTGGGCAGAGATTATATAACCTTAAAATAATATAAAGTATAGCATTGTTCTTTGTTACAGTGCTCGTAGTAACCTACCCTCTGATGAAACGGATCACAAACTACCCTCAAATATTCCTAGGGGCGACTTTCAACTGGGGGGCGCTACTGGGTTACTCGGCGATACAAGGCAGTTTGGAGCCCTTGATTTGTCTGCCCCTGTACGCTGGAGCCCTTGCATGGACTGTGGTCTATGACACCATTTACGCTCATCAGGTAAGAAATTTTTGATATGCTAATTGAGTGTAATAGCCAAAAATTGAATGTTACTTGACAATTTAACTATAGCTTATGAACTATATGGTATATGGACTGTAACATGGCAAAGCCCAGACTTGAAGGTGCGAGAGTGATGGGGGCAACTTGTACTGCCCCCTGGAGATGTTTCTTGTAAAGCAAAGCGATAGGGGAGCGATGTCGACCGTTAATCCCGAGACCCCTCGCATACGCTGATGGCGCGACCATCGTGGGTTTTAGCTAATAGTCCGGTATTTCCATTGCTTTGTAATGTTAGAAAGATATTTACGTGGTAGAGCCATGCTGGAGCTATATTATAGTTGTAGCGCGAATGGTTCCGCTGACCGAGATACTGCTGTGTTTCGTATGGTGAGTGTAGAGATCCGGAGACCCTTTTTTTACTGGAAACGAGGCATTCCATCTTATTTAGGGTGACAACGTATCTGCATTTAGATTCTTAATCGAGGATGGATATAGATGTCTATGGGTCACAGCAACCACTTACCATCAGGTGGACTGTGTGCTCGTTTGTCACCCTTATTCTATAAAAAAGCAACGAACTTCCAAATGATTAAAGGGCTCCACATGTGGATGTGATTGGTACCCAGGAAGCTTTTCTGCTGGGTGAGCTATGGAGATGGCTATGCTCGGAGTTTAATCATCATCTGTAGTGCAACCAGACTAACTGACATACTCCAAAACGTGAGTAAGCTAAACTGGCAAATGGCCGGCTTATAACCAATGGATAAGATAGATTGTCAAGTGGCAGCTCCAGGGTGAGTTATACAATGCATGGGCAGAGATATATTCTTTGTGTTAGTGTTGTTAGTATCAACATGTCTTACCGATATACGGTGTGTAGAATTTAAAGTGTTAGGTTGTTAGCTTTCATTTAACATTGGCAAAGTCTATTCATATACAAAGTCAGTGAAATTATCACTTATAACAATCATAATTAAAAATATATGTATGTTCAAATCAATTCTATATATAATGTCAAAATTTATCATTGAGAAAGTCCGTTACAGTGTAGTAGCATTTCTCAATTAAAAGGTTTTTGAATTTATGTTTAAAAAGATTGCTGTTCAGTGATTTAAACATCTGAGGAATTTTATTATAGATTTTAGGAGCCATGCATACTACATTCCTTCTTAGCAAAGCTGTTTTTGCTTGTTGCAAGTACAATTTATGCATAGGGTGGTCCCCCACATGTGGTGTGACATTATTATTAATACTAAAGGAGTCCTTAGGAGAAAAATTGGCAAGAAACTCACAAATAGACTATATTTTTCGCAATAGTTACATAGTTACATCATCGGATAGACCCTTAGTAACCTTTTTTATTTTCAGGATAAAGACGACGATGCCCGTATAGGCATGAAGTCGACGGCCCTTACCTTTGGGGAGCATACTAAGCCAGCTCTGGGGGCCACATTGACATTGAGTGTCGCCTCGCTTAGTGGTGCTGGGTTTGCAGCCGGGCTAGATTTACCTTATTACGTGGCGCTGGCTTTATATGCGTTACACGCTGGAAGACAGGTGATGTTTATTTGTCTGTTTTATTGATTTAAACTTTTGTTAATATAGTTTTTAATAGAATGGCAAAGTACACGTCACCGGTAAGAATGCTGTGACCAAGACTATATACAAACATGGGCCCGAAGGAAAAGGAAATTGGTATAAGGGTCACCGTTTTTTGGGTTGTGTTGGTAAATTTCACAGTACGCGATTTCGATCTCCGCCGACACCAATTAAATTGTTAATTGTGCTAATTTACCACGTGCTCAGCAGTGAATGAAAACATCGTGAGGGGACCTGCATATCTGAGAAATAAGAATAAAAATAAATAATTCGAAGACATGTGAAGTTCGCCAACACGCATTGGCGCAGCGTGGCGTATACTTCCTTGGTCTAAAACCCTCCCAGAAATGAAGAGAAGCCTGTGCCCACCAGTGGGGCGTAAAATAGGCTGTAACTTTAACTTCTGTGAGAGCGTATTGCGTTCCCGGTCGAACTGACCTGTATGGCCTTGCCGCGTGTTAATAAGTTCATATTTTCCTTTTGTATAATAATCATAGATAATATAAGATTAGGTTTTGCTTTCATCAATGAGTTTGAGCAATGTCTTTTCTTATGCCCACACATTTCATTAACTTAACGCTATTATATTGACTTAAAATTGACCCTTATTACTCAGATGTTAAGACTCAAGATCGAAGTTAACATAGTGATAAAAATACAAATAGTTACCTTACCTTAAGAATAAGGCTATTTATTTCAAGTTTAAAGAATATACAATATTCGAATTGGATCATTATATATTTGCGATAGTTGCCACACTTGGTAAGCAGATCGGCAAGTTTTTTTTTTATAGAATAAGGATGACAAACGAGCACACAGTCCACCTGATGGTAAGTGGATGTTTTGGCCTATAGACATCTATATTTATCCTCGATTAAGAATCAAAACGCAGATGCGTTGTCACCCCTGAGGACTTAAGATGGAATGCCACGTTTCCGGTAAAAAAGGTTCTACGGATTTCTACACTTACCATACGAAACACGGCAGTATTAAGCTGCTATTTTATGCTAATATTCTGTGAGAGCGCGGTCCTACCCCGGTCGAGCTGACCCCGTTCGTGCTGCAACCACAATATAGCTGCAGCACGGCTCTACCACGTAAATATAAACGTATTTATTTTTAGTAGTTATTGAAGAAGAAGCTGCCCCTCCCCATGATTTTTTTACCTCTATCGCCTCTTACGACACCCACGGGGCGATATGGAGTTAGTGGATATTCTTCCACCGTCACTACATGGTACATTACAATAATCACCTAAATTTATGATTAAAACTACTTTTACGGATTTTATCGCGGGTATTTTTACTTTTTATTTACTTTTATTTTTAATTCCCGACGTTTCGGGCGCTTTCCAGCACCCATGGTCACGGGGGACTGGGTGGACATGGGTGCTGGAAAGCGCCCGAATCGTCGGGAATTAAAAATAAAAGTAAATAAAAAGTAAAAATAAACGCTATAAAATCCGTAAAAGTAGTTTTATTCATGTATAGCGTTCGCGTAAATATAAGAAATCATCACCTAAATTTATTTTAAACATTTCATTCTCTTCCAGATATACACACTAAACCCGGATAATCCCGAAGATTGTGCGAGAAAGTTCAAATCTAACTCCATGGTCGGCTTGATCATCCTCCTCGGCATCCTCGGTGGCGGCTATAGACAATACATGGAGAATAGGCAAAATAACAGAGGCAGAGAGAATATAGAAGCAACAAAGAGTTGTTTATTTAGCTGAATTTATTATACGAGTGACAGATAAGATTTTAATGGCATTTAATGATTATTGCTCATTTTACCCGACTGCGTGACGCAAAGGAGGGTAATGTGTTTATCAGCCTATATATGTATGTATGTTTGTTCCTTTGTGGCGCTCTAGAAAACAAACCCGTGTCGAATTTGTCTTAATCTTGTGAGTGTCACTAATGAAATGACGGTATTCAAAATTCAATATGGCGACAATCAGACGCCATATTGTGTAAAAAATAAAGGTCGATGAACTATGTCAAGTGGGGTATCATTGATTACATCTTTGAAAATCATCAATAGGTTTCTCCAATAATTTTTCATTTTGAATGATAATTTAGGATCTATAACAATTCAAATTTAGTTAGCAAGCACTCTCGCTTAAATTTTCAAAACTTATAATAAAGCTGTGAAATCAGGTCGTTTTGTTGTATATGAAGCTGTAGATGTTAAATCGCAATGTCTTAGCATAACAAAGGTTTATTCACTGTTGCCTTGAAGACACGAAGATTGTGATCGGACGGATAGACAGACGTCGGCAAAATATTCCACTCCTTTGCTGTATGCGTTACACAATACAAAGCAAACCCTTAGGGCACTAGTGCACGTTAAGAAAAGTAGCCGGGTCTATGCAAGAAATCGTGTCGTTTCTACACACGAACTGTGTACAATGCTCTGGCGCTAACAAGGAAAAAAATCTTGTCTGCGCAAATGCTTGTCTTGTCTGCGAGTTGCTTCACATAATTTGATTACTTTTATACATGTGTGTCCGTATTTACGTACTTTTTCATTTTATATATATACAGAATGTTAGTGTAAACACTGTTATCCTTGAAACCAGTGGTTTGGTTTCACTTATAGAATGTAAATTCAATGAATTAAAAAAAACGCTATTTTCTTTCATAAAATTTAAAAAGTTTCTGTCCTACACCGTCCGTAAATTCATGGATACCCTAAGCGCCCGAGTGACATAATCAGTGTAAAGATCACCGCCCGCGCTAGCTACCTACACTACATTCCAATAAAAACACAATAGGCACACATAACCTGTGATGTAACTTTTCTTTCATACTTTCATACAGACAAAAATTGAGGAATTAAGGAAAAATTTAGATTTTACTAAAAAAAAAATATGTTGTTATTTTTCATTGAATTTACGTTCTATGAGTGAAACTAAACCACTGATTTCAAGGATAACGATGTTTACACTAACATCCTGTATATAATATGCAATAATCATTTTTTGCTTCGTAGTTAACATGATTCTATTCAATACAAACAAACTTAACTAGTGCACTATACCTTACGTACGACTGACCGAAAACAATCTCATCGTGTACACGTCTCTATTTATCTTGTCGTATACATGATGAATTGATCTTATCTGCCACAGACAGGGTGAAATTTCTTAACGTGTCCAAGGACGTCAGGTTGGAATGAGTAGAATATCAACTACAAAAGGGTGAAGACCCACGCACCGCCTGGTTGTCCGATGGTGGAGAAGGGAGGGAGGAATTAAGGTGTGTTACTCCTGCTCACACTCTCCGATATACATCTTATAAAGTATCGATAGGCTGCTGGCTACTCCGCGTCTTGACTTACTTGACCGCCTCGTTGGCTTAGTGATCGTAGACGCGTTTGCTGATCATAAGGCCCTGAGTTCGAATCTCGGGACGGGCCAAAAGCAGTTATTGGGTCCTCGAAGTCAGGATTGTGGCGATGTTATACCCCCCGTGCCTCGGAAAGCACGTAAAATCGTTGGTCCTGCGCGTGATCTCTCTCCGGTCGTGTCGGTTTACCGTCGGACTATGTGAGTGAGACAATAGAGAGTGCATATGTGCTGCGCATACTCGTGCACTATATTCCTGTCCTGCGCAGATTTTTTTTTATAGAATAAGGGTAACAGACGGGCACACAGTCCACCTGATGGTAAGTGGATGCTGTGGCCCATAGACATATACATTTATCTATACCCCTGAGGACTGAGATGAAATGCCTTGTTTTAAGTAAAAAGGGTGTCCGGTTCTCTACACTCACCATACGAAACACAGCAGCATTAAGATACTATTTTACGCTGGTTTTCTGTGAGAGCGTGGTCCTACCCAATTCGAGCCGACCCATTCGTGCTGCAACCACAATATAGCTGCATCATGGCATCTACCACGTAAAAAACATGGCTAGTCTCCGTTGAGACTGGCAACCGTGACCTTAGTTCAGTCTGGGGGACATTATTTATTATTATTATTACGCTGCAACTGTGCTCGAGGCTGACAAGATTGGTTTCAACCAAATCAAGGTCACCAATAAGCCTCAGCACGAGTCTCCACTGAGTAATACAGCTAGGTGGCATTTTGCAAAATTGGTCAGTTTAGGTGCGTGAGTGCCAATAAAGTATTGCACGATCGTAATGATGAAGGGGAAGGGTTATGTTCAGTATTGGACTTGTAATGGGCTGTGATAACTATGGATTTTTGTTAACTTTTTTTTTTTATTTAATTCAACGTATAACTACATCCATCCTTAGGAAGTACATCGTTTCATTACAATCTATCCCAGTAAACACATAAATGTGAAAAAGGGGGCAAAGTTCAGTGCATTCGACATTTATAGGGTTGAGATTTCAAAGGGTACAACGTTCCTTAAATCATAATTATATGAAATTACAACATTATTCAATTTATAAAAAGCAAAAGATGCCTTCAAAGAAATTAACATTTTAAAGTGGGTGTCTTTGGGTGTCTTCATAGTGCAGGGGTTCCCAAACCTTTTCAGTTCTGGGCACACTCAGTGGTGTAGTATTTAGATGTTATATAAACTATCAATTGAAATATGTATAGTATTGAGTGTTACCAAAAAGTAGTATTAATTTATGAAATGAAATTGTTATGATTAGTTAAAAACTGTCCAGTTAAAGTAATTTAATAATAATCTTATGTCAAGGTCATTAAGTTAAGCAAACCTTTTTTGCGGATCATCCGTTCGTTTGTGCTACCGTTACTATGGTTCATAAAAGATAGCTTGATCTACATATCTCTAATAATCTGCACTAATTAGGTCGGCATGCCCATAAAGTATGACATTGACAGGTACTGTGCGTCTGTACTACTGAGAAATTCAGGACTTCATAGGCGTGATTTTTACTTACAGCTCTCGCAGAGATCAAGCTATCTTTTATGAACTATACGTATATGGCCCCTTTTTGATTACTTTTTTGCTTAACACACTATCGGATATGTTCAATTCGGTTAAACATTGTGAGGGGTTTTACGACAAAATATTAATGGGTTTTTTTTTTAATATATAAATTAATTAATAACTAATTTGTCATATGAGTTGTTTCGTGGATTGTTGGTAAAATTAAGGTTACTTGTGTTAAGATGTTATATTAAAAATTAATTATTAATCTAGAAAATTTTTCTTTAAATTTTTTTTAAATTGTAAACATTGTGAACAGAAATTAAAAGAAAAAGTTAAGTACCTTTTTATGTAAAAAGGAAACTAGTTAAGATAAAAGAGCGGTCTTTGTAAAGATCTCAATGAAACAGATTATAGTTATCAGAGCTTGTGATATCTAAATCAGGAAAATGTCTCTACATCTGCATAACGATATATTTAATATGTCTTATTATTTATCTTAATTAATAACACTGTTATAAACACATACTGTATAATAAATACGTTATAAGCGTATCCTGCGTACATTAGTTTAATATAAAAACCGTATACCTAATTTGTCATCATTTTTGGCAGTAAAGATAGGTTAAGGTGCGGTGGTTCTTGGGCCACAAAACTTGGGACACTGTTATATAATAAACACGTTGAGGGCGTTTATTGTGTATATTATATTATACCTAATTTGTCATCTTTTTTGGTGCTAACAATAGGTTATGGTGCGGCTGGAGTGACCCTTGGATCGGAAGGTCGCGGATATCACGCTGTAACCTAAACGTATGAGGTTAATATACGTTCAGTAATTTCCTTTCTTTTACGCATGTTTTTCTATATCGCCACCGGACACGGGCAGCAGTGATCGGGAGGGTGGAGGGGTGTTTATTTGGGGAATAATATTCAACTCCTGCCTTAACATAACATGATGGCCAGTAAAAATTTCAAGTGTTGAAAATTATTAGAATTATTGAATTATTATTAAATATAAAGATGAATATAATATTAAAAATATTTTTAATAAATCTTTTGATCTCGCTTACACGTACCGCGGCGGTGCTTTTGAGCACGCGCGGTAACACCGCACACGTTCAAAAACACCGCCGCCAACGAAGGTGTTTACAGATGTTAAAAACAGAAATTACTGAATAACTTACTGAAAAAGTTTAGCAAATTTTGGTAATCTGAGTACTGAAAACGTGTATTTTAGATAACAATAACATTCTTATATTCATCATTAGCAATATAATGTTTATATAGAAGACTTGCAGATTTTGTTTTTGAAATATTTCTAAAATGAAGTGGGAAAAGCAGTATTTTTAGCTCTAATGGGCCCAGGTGGCAGGTTACCCCACAGAAGGTGAGGCCATGAAGGTTAGAGAACAGGAAAACGATCACTACGTACTAATAGCAACATACATATGGGCATAGCCCGCCTGTCCTTGAAAATTGTAGAATGTATAGCGGCGCTGACGTCAGTAAGTAGTGACTGCGAAGTTAGCTGTTTATGAGTACAAGTAGATGAAGTTAGTTGAATAATGTACAAATTTTCTCCGCGGCATTGGTGAGAAATTTTTTATGCTCCGTAATTTTGTAATTTTTCACAAAAAGAAACATTAAAAAATGGAAAAATATTTTATTGTGCGTGGACGTGCAAGTGGTTTAGCATCTTATCTGAAAAATTTACTGAAAATGACTTATTAAGCGAACTTAGCGATCACAGTGCCTCACTTATGGTGTCCATATTTCTGGGACACTATTTTCTACGGCGATCGTTTTCCTATTCTCTAACCGTCATGGATGAGACTAAGACATGTGAGGAGTAAG